ACCACCTCTCTGTGTTTATTTCTATGTATTAAGTAGAGCTGCTATGTCTCCCAGTCTTGTCTGGATTGCCTTATGTAGTAGGTGTCCTGTGGGGCCCAGTGGCACAGTTTCCCTGGTCATCTGTGGTAGGTGCTCTAGGAGTGTCCCTTTTGTGGGTTGTGTGTGCCCTCCTATTATAGTTGAGGCTTGATTCTTATTGACACATTAGTGGGTGGATTTGATCCGTCAGGCTGATTGGCTGTAAGGTTTGGCCATGTCCACAGCTTATGGGCTACTATGTAGGGAGCTTACCCCAATGAGCTGGATTTGCCCCAGTGGGCTCTGAAGCCTGTTGAGACCTCTATTTTGGCATGCCACTTGTGCGGCTAATTGGGTGATGCTCTGCTGTGGTGTGGAGTCAAATTCCAAGTATGTTGGTCTGGGTCCTCTTGGGAGGGACCCCAGTACAAGCTCAAGTCAATCACTGCCTGTGACCAGGCAGGGACTATCTGGTAGGAGGTACAAAGCAACATGCAGTTGTTTGCTCCCTGTGCTAAACCTAGAGGCATGTTAGAGAGGCCATGGTTCATAGAGGGCTATGAACCATGGAGGGCTGCCACCAGCTCTGGGCCTGAGGTAGCTCCACAAAAGCCAGAACACACCAAGACCTGCTGTCATCTTCCTGCTCCCTTAAAATTCAGCCACTGATAAAGCCTCGTGTGGTATTCAAGTTGGGTGAGGCAGGGTCGCAGGGCTTCACCAGAGTGGGAAGCGTTGTGTTTACCAGATAAATGTAGATTCTATTGTGGTGCCAGCATTGAGCTTGGAGTTACTCAGCAAAAGTCTCAGAGTACACTGAGGTCAGTTGCCACCCTCCTGGGGCCTATGGACCCCAATAGTTTTCCAAGAAAAGAGTGCAATGCTGGTGGGGCTGGCTGGTCACCGAGAAAGTGCCTCCAGTGTTGGTGGAGTTGGGTAGGGCAAGGTCCCAGGGAGTCAGCAAGGTGGAGCAGCAGAGCTCATCAGACCAGTTCAGAGTCAGATTTGCTCATGTCGGGGAAGGCTCAACACAGCAAAGACGGTGCCTGTCTGCCAGCTGCAGAGGAAGAGGAGTCTACACTGGGAAAATGGTGGCTGCCCGTTCAGTCCTTGTTCTGGAGCCACACAACTCAGTCTCTGCTCATATGTCTCGGGTGCCCCCTGAGTCACTGCCCTCCACCGTAGCCCAGGGTGAGTATCTGCAAGGGAGTGAGGCTGTGTGCAGGCAATTTAAGAGGATGTCTGGGTTTCCCACAGCCTTCTGTCCCACCCAAATAGCCATAATCCCCACTGTTTTTCACAGCCATATGTTGTGGGGCTCCTTTTCCACCACCAGGACTCTGGGCTGGGAAGCCTGGTGGGGGGCTGGGGTCCCTGGCTCCTCCTGGGGGAACCTCTGCAGCTGAGATATCCCTCTCAATTCTCAACTTCCCCACGCAGGTGTGGGGCCAGTTGTTTCGCATCTCTGCCCCTCCTACCAGTCTTGACATGGCCTCTTCTTTATATTCTTATAGGACTTCTGTTCAGATAGACTTCACATAGTTCTCCAGGTTGATTGTTCCATAATTTAGCTGGAATTTTAATGTTTGCATGGAAGGAGGCAGGTCCAGTGTTCATGTACTTCACCATCTTGGATCCAGAACTCCCCTTCTTTAGAAAAATCTGCTGCAAGACAAATAATGCTACGAGACAGGCTATGTGCCCAAATGCTCACATATAAAGGACACAGTGGCACATACAACTGTACAGGACACAGGGGAGTAAAGGCAGGAGTCACTTGATGAACTTAAATATTTGGTTAGGGAAGCAGCCAATGGAAGTACCAAAGTACCCTCTATACTGGAAGTATTCAGAGTTTTCCTTTGGTTTCTACCAGTTCCGGCAGAAACGAACAGCGTCAGTCCAGCCTCCCACCTCAGAATGCTGGCTTTACCTGCAAGGATAGAATAGTTTTCAATCTTCAGCTGGGGTGAACGCTGATGCATAGCAACTCATTCACAAGCCCAGCCTGGAGCTACAAAAAGGTATATCTCCCCAGTGTGATTACCCAGGAAAGGGAGCATAAGAAAGGGAGGGGTCTTTTCCCTTCTTGTTTGCTTCCCAGAAGTCTTTTTTTAGGTACATCCTCAGAGTCATGGAGAGAAGATGACCATGACCAATGTATGCAAACTAGGGTTCACTGATGCACAAGCCAAAAGGTTAGTTAAAACAATTTTTCTCCCCTAAATATATCTCCCCTGGGCTTTGGTGATGAAAGCATTCCCCAAGTGTACTTAATAGATGGGGATTCTGAAAGAGGGAGGTGGAGCCATCAGTCTGGGGTTAAGTACTGTTCTGGTGGGAAAAAAAATGGGGTGGAAACTCCAGCTCTTGCCTTTCTAGTCTTCTGCACTGGAGTAGGCAGCAAATTACCTACTAGCTCAAGAGGATGAAGTCAGAATGAATAGCCAGTGTCACTCTCACATCTTGGACAGGCTGCCTCATAGGCTACCAGCTGGAGATTAGGGTCATGGCGATGGGCCAAATTTTGTCATTGCTGATAGGGCTACTATACACATATCATAACATATTTTTATTTTACAGTTCAGTGGTCAGGCAGGGTCATTTGGGAAAGGGCAGTGAGTTGGGAAGTCAAGTGTCACCTCTGTATCTCCTTTATGTTTAGGTGATAGACACCAATTTTTTTGATGCTACATTTTTTGTTGTGAATGAGCATAGTGTGCACTGAAGGAGTTTCCATTTTTTATTTCCATATTGGATGTAGGCTTATGGTTTCAGGCCATTCATGTGCTTTTCTCACAAGCCAAACCTGGCATCCCTGTGGCTTGTGAGCCTATAACAGATACAGTCCGTTCCTCCACCCCCACCCCACCCCACCCCACCCCAAATCTCCTCACATGGCATTTACTATGTCTGCACACTCATTCTCCCTTCTGCGGCTATGCTCTTAAAGGTTCACATCCACACGGCTTTCTTCAAGACTGCCCTGAGCTGCAGGAGTCCTGCTTGTATAGACAGCCTGACGAACCTGCAAGAGGACATCCCACCAGGCAACCTGAGCTTTGGACGGACCGCTGTGAGACCGTGCAAGTCCAGTCATTTGCCTGAATCGGGACAAATTCTGCGGTAATCATTTATGCTGTAGGGCAGTGCTGTCTAATAGAGCTTTCCGTGATGTTGGAAACGTTCTGGATCTGTGCTGTCTAACATGGTGGCCACCAGCCACGAGTGCTGAGGACTTGAAATATGGCTACCGCGACAGAGGAACTGAATTTTTAAAATCCTGAATGAAGGAGCGGGCACATGCACAAATGAGAAAGCAGCCTCCGTTAGTCGGAATGCTCAGAAGCTGTGAGGAGGAAGCTATGTCTTAGGGTACGTTTTGTTTTCAAGTTACCTGAGAGGTACCAAGAAACTCTACCTTACTTAAACTTTTGTTCCTGAAAATCATTCCAAGAGGCATGAATCCAGTTTCTCTTCTTAGTGAATGCAGCGAGTGTGGTCTTTCTTTGGTTTCAGTCGTGGGGATGTCTCAGTGCCCATGGGTGCGGATTGTAATGTAAACTATAGAAAGGGATGGAGATTGGGCTGACTTTGAATGGACCCCAAGATATAGCCTGAGTCTCCAGATGAACATTTTAGGATGTTTGGGTTCTGATTATTAAGCTTGTATTGCAAACATCAAAAATACTTTAATAGCTATCCTGCTAAAGATTTTGAGGCTTAGGAGACTCAAAAAAATCAAATTACTCTTTTCTATGACTTTATTGATTTTATTAATGTCTAAGTGATCTAGGCCTGGTTCCTAGCCCCTGAAGGATTCCTCTGTTCACTTCTGGGGCCCATAGTTGCCATCTGCAGGCCGCCCTTGCTGGTCTCCATAGTCAACCATGAGTGGAAGTAACAGGAATTTTAAGGAGTTTCAGCTCCACTCACTACCATCATTTCAATTTTGTGTTACCTCTTGCTCTGTCACTGGGTCTTATTCTCTGCCCTACGCCTTAGCCTTGACTGTGGCCTGTTTGGCACCTCAGCCCCTCCAGAACAGAATTTGTCTTGTTTCTAGCTTTTGCTCAGGACAGATGCCCCCAAACCTCAGTCCACTATGCTCTGTCTGCTGGACCAAATTCCTTCCAGAGTTTGTCTGACATTGTTCAGTGACTCATTCAACAGATGCTTAAGGGCCCAATATTGTCAGGCACTATGGCAGGGAGGCCACCGGCATTATGTTAGCATGCCTAGCTTCTAGGTAAAGAAACAGAGATGTAGGAGTAATGAAAATTGTGCCCAATATCATACCGCACACACAGAAATAGCTGGCGATAGAAGCCAGGTCTGGGAGTTGTCGGCTACTTGAAGGCAAGACTTGGGTTTGATGTGCTTTTGTGTTCAGGAGATAGGCCTTCAAAGAAGGGGGTGAGCATATGATGCATTAAGATAATAAGTCACATGAACAATAAATGTGCATTGAAGGTCCTAAGAAACAGACCGACCCTGGCACCCCCACTTCCATAGGAAGCATCACACAACTGAGGAAGAACCTATTATGGGGTCTCTCATGCTGAACAAGCTTTCAAAAGCCCAGTGGGACATTCCCAAATGACATTCTTGGTGCCACCAAGTGAAGACCCTTGATTGATCATTCTTTCCACCTGAACTCAAGATTGTAAATACATGTGCATAGTTCATCTCAAAGGAGATAGGATGGAGTCCCAGGAAGGTGACTGGGCTGGGACCATCTCACAGATGTCACTGTTCCTTCATGTTGGATAAGCAGTTTGTTCTTTGTTTCTGTGTTGCCCTGTGCTTGGCCCTCATTGATAGTTAATCTACCTGGCAAAAAACAGGTGGCTCTATTCTGGAGGAACTCCCAGCTCCTGTTGCAACAGTAAGCAGTAATATAAGGTGTTGAAATAACTGTAATTGATTCAAATAGTTTCAGACTGCAAAGACGTCATCCCCAACCACAAAGCCATGGCTACCTGGTGGCAAGCAGAGGGTATGTGTGAACTGGGCTGAACCAGGCGTCCTTCCTCCGGGGCATGCTGTCATACATTAAAAGGTCCTTCTCAGTCAGTACAACCAGAGCTGGCTTCCACTGTTTCTCGCCCTCCCCGGGCACCTGAAACAGAAAGCAGAGATCTGGTAAACAACAGTCTGAGAAAAGAGTGATGGGGAAGGAGAAGCTGGCATCCCCCCAGTCAGAAGACGCAACAATAAGAGCACCTTTTTGGTTCAGGTTGTGGAATGAAAATGAGAAGACACCATTCATGGTGACATGATTCTTGGTCCTTGAACATATCTTTCCTCAAGGCCCTGGTGTATGTACAGTCAGTGTAGCCAAGAAGTGGCCCGGCTGCCAAGAAGCTGTCACTGCTTCTCACCTGCCCATCAGCACTGAGGTCTCTATTTCATAGTGGGACATAGATGCTTGGGGCACCAAGGGCTCCCCGCCGGTTCTCTGGTAGAAGGTGTTGTTTCTCTTATGAAATGGTAAGGGTCGAAAGCTTTGGAATAAATATCCAAAGCGTCTGCAAAGGCACTGTGCAGGCGAATGTCTGTCTGAACAAGTATGAGACACCCCAGCGTCTTTCCCTAATCTTTCACTCTTAGACTGTTTTTGTGATTCAGGCGCCATCTTGAAATTCTCTTGTTCTAGTGAATGTTGAGTTCTATTCATCACAGATAATTCTTTTTTTTATTAGGTTTTTTTTTTTAGTTTTTTAATTAGTTTTAATTAGTTTATTAGGTGTACAAAACAATGTAATAGTTAGACATTTCACCCTTCACAAAGTGATAACCCCTCTCCCCCAATCTATTGCCCCTCTGACATTGTATATATCTATTACAATTCCACTGACTCTATAACTCAAGGGCTAACATGACCTGACAGGGATATGAGAGGATTCAGACATCACTTGGATGACTGGACCAGATAGACAATTCTTGATGTCCCTTCCAATCCTGGGAGCCTGTGTTAGCTCAGATCTTATCTCATGAGCCTTCCACCTCTGCCCAGTGTTGATTCCCCATACTCCCGAAGTGTTCTTCCATCTATGAAAATGCCCTTTATCCAACTTGAACTCTGGCATAAATTTTGATGCTCAGTTTGGAAAAACTCAATGTTCTTAGCTTGCTACTCAAAGCATGGATCACATCATCCATATCATCACTGTGACCTGGGAGCTTGCTAGAAATGTAGACTCTAGGGTCCATCTCAGACCTATTGAATCACAATTTACATTTTAACTAGATCTTCAGGTGATTCATGTGCTCATTAAAGATGAAGAAGCACTGCTCTAGATGAGGTTAAGATTGTCTTTGACACTGGCAATTAATTGAGTGCAAACCACTGTCCAAAATCTATATTCAGAATTAAAGTAAACTAGCCAGTAAGCTAAAGACATGATAAAGCTAATTTCTTCCCTTTCTATTCTCATTGTTATCTTAAGTGCCACAGTGAAATCTGTATTAAGGTGGAAGCAAGTGTGTGTGGCTTTAAATGAATGATCCAAGTCGAGAAGACGGTATAAGTTTAAACTCTGTCGGTTTTATAGGCTGCCTGAGTCTGATCCCTGCTCCATCATTTGTTGCCTATGTGACTTTGGGCAAGTTATGTTTTGTGCTTCTGTTTCCTCGCTGATAAAGATAACATCATATACAACAGTGGTTAAGAGTGCTGACTCTGGAGCTAGAATGCCTGAACAAAAATCATAGCTCCATGATTTGTTAGCTGTGGGATCTGGGGCAAGTCAGCTAATCTCTTTGTATCTCAGTTTCTGTGTCTGTAAAATGGGGAAATAACAGTACTTATATATCAGAGGGCTGTTGTGATGATTGAGTTAAAATGCCTGAAATGCTTTGCATGGTGCAGAATAAGCACCATGTAGAGCCTAAATAGTATGTACCTCTTAA